AAGCGAAATAAAAAAAAAATTACGGTGTATGGGGTGGCCGAGTCATCAGCGTTGGCTACCCATTCACCGCGTTGTGCTTCACTTCACTGGCTTCGGAGCTTTGACTTCTTGCAGCGGGAAAATGATAGCGCATCCCTGAGCACTGCGAGAAATCCCCCTTTGCCCTTGAAGCGGCCCCTGGTCACTACTCTTGCAGTCGCCCCTGACAGATTACCCCCCGGGCCGGAAACGTTCGTCTCCGTGGTTGTCACGGCAACGGGACCTGCTCCTCCCTCTTCTAAAGAGGACTGCACTTCCTTTGGGGAAAAGCTCCCGCTCCCGCGAAGGGGATTCCCCTTTTCACCGCTCGAGGTAGGAGTCTGCGTCCGCACGAACACATTGGTGCTGCCTCTACCTGGGCCATTGACGTTGTCCAAGTCCCTGGCAGCGTCCGCAGCGGCGCCAAATTGGAAAGTATTGCCACTACCAGACATCACAGAAGGCAGGTAGTAATCGCCGGCATACTCCTCGGTGTCCACGGATTTCCTCGAAAACCGCCTCAGCGGCCCATCGCGTCCCTCGTCAGGAAGTTGACCCAACAGCCACTCAACGTCGTCTTGATCTTTCTTGTGCTGCGCGAGAGTCAGGGCGTGGGATATGTCGTCATCCGTAACCGCCGTTGGTGCCTGACCCAGGTTCTCCTCGGGAGTGTAATCTTCTACATTCATGCTCTTTATAATAGCCCGTGCTGCTCTAACGGTCATGCGTTTGCTGGGGTCACGGTTTAGTAAGCCCTGGAGCAACTCCGTCCACTGGCTACCGTAGGAGGTGGGGATCACGGGAAGGGATGGATCCATAATATCCTCCAGGGTACTAAATGGTAACCTTCCGGTAAGAAGAATATAAAGTGTGACTCCTAATGCCCACATATCGACCGGCCTCGCGTAGGACTTGTCACCGCGCCAAAGTTCCGGAGCCACATACAGCATAGTCCCTTTTGTTCCTTTAATAGGAAGACCTTGCCCCTGCTGCGGCCCACCGAGGGTCCTACTAGCTGCCATGCTCTCCTGCATCATGGCCTCAAGTCTCTCACGATTGGAGGCGTCAAAGAACTCCGAAACGCCAAAGTCAGTTAAAAAGGCACGTTTGCTTCGGTCACTAAAAT